GTTACAACAATGAATTAACAATCATATAAAGAGTATAATGCCACATTTTTATATACAATGCTACGTCGTTACATGGTGTAAGTTATGAGAGAACAGCGATTTAAAATATTACTATAGTGGTTTTTTAATTGTTAATTTTTTTATGTATATTTTGTACAGCTTGAGTAATATTTATATATTATTTAATAATACAATCAACTTATTACTTTAGTATAATGTAATCGAGTCTTACAAACCTTCATATTCTTTCATTCATTCTTCATACATTATTTCTCAGTCATATCTCTCTTACTTGTACCACACTCCACAGTCCGTAGGCCTCTCAATAGTTTGTCAAACTGTTAAAAGCCACTTCACCTGACAGAGTGCCGGTACTACGTACTACGAGGTATTTTATTCGTGGGAAAAAACGAGATTCATACAAGAACAACACACTAAAATAACATGACCTTACTTCTAATACACGCAAATTATTGTTATGTTTAAAGTAACTCTTGATAAAATTAGAGTTGTATTTTCGTGTTTAAATGTTGTGTTTGGTGGAATGTTCCAGACATATTGCTATACACCACAAGTTTAATGAAACGGTCTTTAAAGTCGAATCTTAATTTAAAGTCGAATCTTAATTTTACAATTATTCATTTAAAGTCATCTATATTATAATATTAATTCATTTAATACAACAGATCCTTGTCGTAATCTCCATCATTAATTCGAGTTCATCCGACCGATATATTTTAAGTCTACAAGACATCTCAATCTGTTAATGAACCGATCTAATTGAATCATTTCTCTTACAATCCTCTCAGTGTGTTGAAGCGTCGCTGACATTACAATATTTAATTCATTTATTATCTACTAGCTTTCCGCCCGCAGCTTCGCCCGCGTGGAGTTCGGTTATATCGCGTTTCCAAGAGAACCTTTCAAAAGTCTGGGTTGAAAACGCTATGTTCTTTCTAAATCCTATGTTCAATGTCAATTCTATATCTGTACCAAATTTCATTGAAATCAGTTCAGTGGTTTAGGCGTGAAACGAAATATATTTGATTATTTTAAAAAACACTATGAGAAACTGAGGTTTTCATATAATACGAGTGTTTTTGTTATATCTACATAAACTCGACATTTTCGATTCCTTCAACAACCTTGATGACGGACAGACGAGATGAAAGTGTAAGATGAAACTGTGTGATGTAGATATTAAATATTAAAAGCAGATAAGATTAGTCTCATTTAAATGAGTAGGTACATGGAAAAATCTTGTTGGCTAGCTCTTTAATTAATATTGTCATGTGTTTTATTGATTTATGATATATTTATTAAATTCATAGAAAAGATATAATGTAGGAATAAAAATTACTTACTGTGACTTAGAAACAAATTAAAATCAATTTAGAGATTTTAAGTATACAAATAATAAGGGATAAATCATGTTAAATGAAACGAGATGTATGAAAATTGTATTGTTAATAATATTTAAGGATATACAACAACAATTAATATTTAACACAAAGGTTTAAATTCAGTCGCTGTATTTTTATAAGACAGGTAACAGTAATAATGTATTTTGAAAAACGTCTTCATTCAATGTCAAATAGTCTTTAAAAAAATGACAAAACAATATGGAATTTTAATTAAATTATTTTTATACGTGTAATGTCTTCCACGGTATAACACGATGGACCCCTTAGAGGAACACGTGCTCTGGTAGCGGGTTCATTCCCCGTCGAGACGAGGGCTGTAATTGATCTTTATACAACATTACATTTATATTGGAACTAGTTTTATTAACGTGACTCAGAGAAAAACAATTAAAATTATATACACTATCAGATTATGTTAAAACATCAAAGGTCAATGAACTTATTGAAATTTATGTCTTCACTTAAAGTATAATAAAATAATATTAAGAACACTATAGCTATATAAATAATAGTATTATACTGGCTTAAAAGATGCTATTTAGATGAGAAAAGGAAGAAGTGACATTGAACTAATTGGAATAAGTAAGAAAATGCATCATTATAGATCGTTTAAAATGATCATACTATTTTACACATAATGTTATTCTGATAGTATTTTTTGTTAATAAAATGAATCAATTTTTTTAACTCCACCATGTATCCATCAGCTGCGTGTCAATTTGATACGTGACTTTTAGTTTTCACAACGTTACCAATGACTCGTTATACATACACTAAAAAGACATTAACGGACAACTTGAACCGTTTATAAGATGTAGCGATAACTAATGAAATTAAACTCACTACACAAACTATGGAACAATACTAACAATATAAGAAACGAGAGCATTCAGATATAATATAAGTTGTAGACATGAATGAAACGAAACACAAAGTCGAGGATACATCGAACAAGTGAATGGCAGACAGAGTGGCGGGGCGACATGCTGTGAGGAGAGACCTGTACCGAGAAACACAGCCGCAGAACAAAATGATCACAGGTGGGCATTAAATAACTTTTAAAAGGATTTCCGTTCTGACCATCACGAGCACAGAGAACACTCGAGGTGACCATTCGAAAAATATTAGATTAGACTCGCTCAGGGCGAGACCATTCACGTCTGGAGACTTGCTTTGTGTTTAACGAATATAAAACAAATGTAATATTAATAGGTTGCTCGTTATTAGAACAATATATTGAAACAAATAAACTAGTCGATGTCAACTAAATAGGGGAGAGTTGGTTATATCGTACTAGTATTTAAATCGTACCACCTCTAAATTTCCCATTTAATGAATATTTTTTTTACATTGACAACGCCAAATCGTGGCCCTGTACCATCCCTCTTCACCCACTAGTTTAAATCGACGTGAGTTAACAACTGTGCAAGTAATAAAAGAATAACATTTTTTGTAGGAATTAATATAAATATTGTCGTACATTCGTAAGGAGATAACTCGTAATCAAGGTAAGCTATAGTTATTCATTTTTTTTTATTATTCCACAATCGTATACTAGATTATTTGGGGTTTTTGTTGCGTGTTTAAGTTTTGAGTTTATGCAGGATATTTGCTTTTGTTTTAGAAATGCCTTAGTTGGTTTAATCGTACCACTTGCAGTTGGTTAAATTGTACTGGTACGATTTACCCGACTACCAACCGCAAGTACCTATAGTACTACCGCAAGTACGTATAGTAAGTACTACCCAAGGCCAAAAACAAAAGTTATAAGAGGAAACGATCTCATTCCATCACCAGTAGCGATGATTCAGGAGAGACACTTGTTGTAGAACTAGATGATGATGATGACAGCGATGATGATCTTGAAAATATATGTCGAAAGTGCAATTGTTCTTACTACGATAAGAAGGGTCCAAAAGTTGATTGGATGCAATGCGTTCGCTATAAACGGTGGCTACATGAGACATGTACTTCGAATCCAGACATTTGTCATGATTGTGTCCATTAAGAAATATGCACAATAATTATATTACAAATAACATTCATGTTAACTGTTACTTTATTATTACAGTTTACTGTTTTTTTTTTGTCTCATTTTTATTAGTTATGTTGATTGATCTCATTATCATAGTATAATCATGTTACTTTACTGAGAAAGCTTATAGTTCCTTTATATAACCTGAGAGTTAAAAATTATGTTTCTATTACCTAAAAGATATAAATAATGTTGTTTTATTACTTACCTAACAGTTAAAAATAAATAATTTGATTGAGAATTTTAATGTCTTTCATTCAGTGGTACGACTTAAACACCCGTGGTACGATTTAAAGACTTAGTGGTACGATTAAAACGACTAGTCGGCTAAAACGTACCGATGGCAAGCCTCTATAAAAAAGCATTTTTAACAATGTTAGAATAATTGTAAGGATCTGTTCTCTTCTTCTTAGGAAGCTAAAATATGAAACTTTATTTTACATATGTATTAATTATTATAAGACGTGTTATAATCGAAATATTTGAGTTAAAGTGAAAAGTGGTACGATATATCCGACTCTCCCCTATATCCGTACATTTAAGTACCTAATGAGATCTAAGATTTTTGGTAGTACCTATTCATTTAAATGAAACTAATATTTTTGACTATATTTTTGTAAAAAACTACATACTCCCTAAGTTTCGGTTACGTTTAAAAGTAAAAATCAGAAAAATATTACTTTCAATAAATATACATTTATATGTTAGCGTCGTAACGAATAATATGTAAATGTTAATGACGCGTACAAAATCATGTTTATTGTTAAATAAATTTTATACATTTATCACTGTACATTTATATTCCGACACTATCTGCTCATCATCATAAGAGAGACGACAAAAACCAAAAATAACCCAGAACACGACACAAAAAATATTACAGTTATTAAATAGAGTAAGGATCAAAACATATTGATAATAGATAATTACCGATAGATCGATGTAATCAAATGATTCCCGGATGATTCCCGACCTACCCTACACCGGGTCCATGTCTGTGGCAATTATCCAAATAATGACACCCTCACAAGACCCGGGTGTACTGCAACCCTTTATCATGTATCAGTTCAGGGGATATCAGATCTTATTATTAGTTATATTCTCGTAAACATATTTTTTTTATTCCACCTCAGATAGTTGCCGATTATGTCTGTCTTTTATATTTGTTCAACGAAAACATAGTTCTGCAAGAAAGGATTCTCTTTGTACATTGTTTAATATTAAACATGAGGGTGTAGCATAAAGAGTTTTGGCAATGTTTTTCTATCGGCCATTCGGATGTCGGTCTGAGATATCATCAAACAAATCTACAGTGAATTAAACGTTAACTTGTAATGATTCTGATTCATCTTAGTAACATGTTAATAATATAATCCGGTCCACAGCACACATGGTATGTATGTAGTATGAATGAAGTAATAACTCTTAAAGACGCGCCATTAGCATCATGTAGCCGTCACCGCGCGAGTTGCTTTTAAATTAATTCTGACATGATAATAACACGCATTGATTCACAATTTGATCCCTTTAATGCTTCATACCGGTCCTGTTCGGGGCGGGGCGAGGGTAGCTGATGGACCAGCCACCACCCCACGAGCAGCGCATACGGTCCGCATTATGAAGCATTCATATCTAATTAATGGACACTCGACTACACGGACTCAATACTTTTGGTACTTACACTGACCGGTTATGAAGAATAATTATTACATATCTTAATAATAAATAATGTTTACACGGAGTTCAGGTCGACTTATAAGAGATTAAAATATAACTATTGAAATATATTTGTAAGAAGTCATGCTCTTATTATCACTATATTAAAGAATATCTTCTTCGTTAAAACACAGAAAAAACGTCAAAATATAATATGATATACTAAAGTATATTTACTCTAAAATGATGTAAAGCTGGTTGCACTAGCAGCATCCATTTGATTATAATAACAATAGGGAAAAATTAAAAAGCATCTAAAACAGTAACCAAATTGATTTTAATGAGACAGATACAAGGGATGTTAGCTCCCCATACAATATTATTCATAGCTACTAAAACGACCCATTCATAAAAATACTATATTTTTTTCAACTACCATTGGGGCGACGGGCCGCCGACAAAAGGGTGGGCCGGGCCAAATAATTGCCAAAACGCGTCGAGTGAGTGGCATTGTGTTTGTTTACAATGGGGTGCTTAGTGGGGGTAGGTTTAGTAATTGTTAGTGGAGGAGATCTCGGGAACAGTCATCAGTCGTGAGGCGAGCCCGGGCCGGCGAGCAGCACCATGTCGAGATCCTTCCTAGTGGACGCCTTGATGAGTGATACTAAAGATACTAACACGGAGATGAAGAGCGAACATCTAGCGTACAACTTGGGTAACTTGGACACGCGACCCAAGTTCCTGCCGTACCCTTACCCCGGGAGTATCAACCTCCTGTCTCTCGGACTACAGCAGCAACGAGCGCCGGACCTGTTCCGACCCTTCCTGGAACAACTGAACTTTCGCTACCCGATGTTACACCAGCTACCTCGACAGACGGAGTTTTTTGGACCCGCTCACGAGACTCGCCCGTTCGAAGGCTTCAAAACCGAAGATCAGGAGACTGGTTTAGTGAATAGAGCTAAGAAATCTGTGTCACCGTATTTGCACCATCCTTATAAATCGACCGCGACCTCGCCAGCCAAGAGTCAAGGTCAAAGGTCACCGTCTTTATCCAGCGACAGTCGCAACGGCTCTCCAAGCCCGCCTCTAGGACATCCCGAGGAACTCCTGCCAGGATACTCCAAGGAATTGAAACGTCTGCCATTAAAAGAAGATTCGAGCAAACGAATCCGAACAGCTTTCACTGGGACGCAACTCCTCGAGCTAGAGAGAGAGTTCTCCATGAACATGTACCTGTCTAGATTGAGAAGAATAGAGATAGCTTCCAGGCTGAAGCTGTCAGAGAAACAAGTGAAGATCTGGTTCCAGAACAGACGGGTTAAGCTCAAGAAGGAAGAGAACCCGCTGACTAACGAAGGCAGAGGGAAGAGATGCTGCTGTAACAAGGGAACCTGTTCTAAGAGTTCTACCTCCTGCGAAGAAGACCAAGGACAGATAGATGTAGTCGATTATGATGGGTGTGAAGCCCAGAACCTCTCCCGCTACTCCTGACGAGACTTCAACATGAAGAATCACTCATATCCTGTTAGTGTAACATAGTACATGTATATAATAATTTATGCGACAAATATATTTTCATACAAATCTACAACTCGTTGTACAAATAAATTTTTATGATTGGACATCTTGTTTCTATGGTATGCGAGGGTACCGAATGTCATCCCTCTTACTGAGTACCGGCGACGTAATACTACACATTATTAAATTCTTAAAATTAAAACCCCGTTCATATTAATTAAAAGACAAACATCAGCCTGCTCCGATTGAAATGATTATTAAACATTTAAATATATTAAATTATTTAAACCATACTAGTTTTTGTAAGCGACTTTATCTGCGTTAATTTCAAAATAAGAAATGTATAGCTGACCAGGCGAACTCTGTTCATCCTTCAAGACAGTAGATAAGAACATTTTAGTTTTGATCAACTTATTTTTTTCTTTTTCGATCGAATGAAAAGTATCCAATGTTCTTTCCATTATTCTAAGCTATCTCTCCACAAATTTTCATTCAAACTAGTACAGCCGTTCTTAAGTCATATACAATGTAACTAACAAGATTTTCTTTTACATATAAAGATAAGAGAAAATCTGTTTTAATAAATCGACAGGAATAACAAACATTTTAACACAATAAATAACATATTTCCTAGTATTGTGTTTATTATCAGGACTACGTAGATACTACATAAAGAAATTATAAATAAAAATCTTTATAATACTTATTATTAACAAACAATATAATACAAATTATTTATATTTATTAAATAAATAATAATTAATTCATATAAAAATGAAAATCAGAGAAATGTTTCCATTCAATTAACTTACCATTCGTTTTCACCCTTACACTACATACGACACGTTTTCCGTTTCCTATTCCATAGAATATAATTTATTTTAATACAGTAATGTAATATGATAAGATTTACAAATGACGAACTATTAACGCTACGTACGTAGTGTGACAGTTGAAACATGTAGTAGGCGTTAAGCTGAAACTCATATATTATAGTGTCTAAGGAAATTAACATAGTATCATCATCATCATCAGCCTATCAGAGCCCACTGCTGAGCCAAGGCCTCTTCTCACATGGAGAAGATTACAATAGAATTAAAATGAAATAAACAAAACAACTTTGTGAAGAAAATGAATCTTAAAAACAATTATATTAAATGAAAACGATTTTAAAATTGTCAAGGAACAAACACAATGTTATATTCAACAAATAATCAATTATATAATTATTATAATCAGAGTATTCGGGATGAGAAATTTCAAAACGCATTATTTGATCGTATCGAGTACAATTTGAAAAACTAATAGTAAGTATCAACAAATAATATAAAGGAAAAATTATTTGATTTATATTGCGATTTAAGAAAGTAATAATTTAAACATAATTATGTATTACAATAAGAAATATTATACATTATAAATGTAGAATAATTATCGATATGAATAAGGACTGCGAAATTTTTTCCTATTACAGTGTGCTTCGATATGTTGTAGTTTATTTTTAATTTATAATTATTATTTTCATTATAGAAATGATTTCTAATAAGAGTTTTATGTTGAGTCAATTAATCTCAAAGAATCTTATTAGGAAATATTACCCTTGTTAACACAAACATCTTATTTGAATCATCGTACTTACTTAACCTATTTATTCGAAAAAATCTCATAAAAGTTATAATAATGTTGACTTAATTTTAATATTAAGACAAGTGATTTAATTAGCCACAACAATAATCCGATCGTCCAATTATATTTTCTGTATATATTCCTATGTATCCTAACTCTCAACCCCACAATATCCCACGAGACCATATTTGCCAAACGACCGTCATCCATCTTAAAATCAAATAACGTAATTATTTGTCGAAAGCATTTATTATCTATGGCGGGACGCGCGGACGACTGCACCCGAAACATCAACCAATATACGCGACACTCGTAAAATAATACTAGCATCTTATTACAAGGGCGTAAGGTACATTATTGAATGATACATGTAGTATCGGGCGATAATATAAATTTGTATAATTCCCGATCTCTACCCATGACAGTGGCTTAACAAATTTGTGTTTTCAGTTGGTTCTATATTATATGTACCTTATTTTAATGCAATAAGGTTCAATATTCAATACCAGTCTGTTGTATGATCGCAAATATAAATTTGTTAAAGCCATAGAAGGCCACGCGGCACTTCATTGGTATCTATTTGAATTTGGAAATCATTTAGAATTTGTTTTTCATAAGTGCGTTCTTTACGTCCGAGCTGGCGCGGAGTGTGTTCTCATTGATGATTTGATTTATTTGTATTCGTTTCACGGTCAGTTATCGAGTGGGGTGGGAAAAGGATATTTGATCATAATTTGCACCATTAATTTTATTCCCATTAATATATCAACGAACAATAAGTCTCACGATGACGAACAGATATATCTTCCCAGACCTGATAAGAATATTCAAACTTATTTATTTAAAAAAAAAAATCAAGCCTAAAACATTAAAATGCAAATATATTTTAAGTGCCGACTAAATGATAGTTAGGGATGAAAAGACGCCACCGAATTGAATAAAATAAAATCATATTATGTATAAAAGTAATAAACGGGCCATTGTATCATTGTAATAACAAATAAAACTTCCAAAGCCCTTGTTACGCTTCTTCTAATTATTTGATACACAACGTCACCGAACAATTAACTACGGAGGGTCAACATGTCACTGATAATAGTCCTTATTACATTGTAATAAGAGTCACCAACAATACAACAATGTCCCATAATAAATCCTATATCACGCTGACAACCGTATGTTTTGTCACTGCTAATAGGTCACGGGTTTCAAAACGTATGTCATTTATAATATCGTTTAATACAATCAATTATAGTACTTATATCCGTTTAATTAAAGGTTAATTTTCTTTATTGGATTTAGTACCAGATATTTTTGTATAACTTTTGTTAACAAACAAATATCTATCTTGTCCTCTAAGTAATAAAGTAGAGATTTGTTTGGCACGATGTTAACAAAGATGGCGTCCATTCGGATGAGATTCCCTGTACAATGCAATATCATTTGCTTGCGGAACGAATCGATCGGGTTTGATCCTTGATAAATTGAAATTTAAATTAGTTTCTAACTGTATTTTAGTTTAGTTGTTATAAAGTAAACAAACAACATGTCGCAAACATGTTTCTGTTTTAAAATTAAAATTTAGAGAATATTTAGTAAGGTCAACTGTCAACGTAGTTGTCAAACGGTTGGCGGGTTGCAAATTACAATAGACAAACTTTTGTATCGAATAATATATTTACAAAGTTTAATTTCCAATAAATATTATTACATTTTTTGTGTTCATTTTAATATAAAAGTCGATATCCATGTCACGATGGACTTAATGTTGTGTTAAATTGTATTTGTGTTTGATGGACTTTCAAAAAACATCTGCCACATTATAGAAAAAACAGTTTTAATGTATTCAGCCGATGTCAATAAAAAAATACAAGATTTTAAAATTTATTTATTCAATTTGTTTATCTTCTGTAAATATTTAATATACTTCCTAAATAATATGAGGCACAGATAAATAATAAGTTATTAATAATTATATGGCTGTATGACTGAAGACTTTTCGAAATGTAAGGAGTTTAATATAAATATAATAAAAACATAATATGTATGTATATAGAGGTATCAAATAAGAGGATCACCTTAATACATTATTCAGCTCGGCCGGACCTCAAATAAAACATATTGCGGAGCTCACAAATTAAATTTGATGACCTCACACAGAGTTTAAATATTTACTGACAGCGAGGATACTGTGACGTGACTACACGAACATACGTTACTGTATGTAGGTACTTATTAAGATTTATTATCTTATACTTCACACAAATAACTAATAATACATATATAGATACTAATGAGATCTAACACTTTCGAGAGTAATAATTTAAATAACATTTTGTTTTTCGGATTACTACATGTTAATTTATTATTTTATATCTGCATTTTCTCGACGTTTCAGTTATTTTGCACTAACCGTGTTCACAGACAGACGAGATTTCGTATTTATCAATTAAAAATTATAATAAAATACGCGAAGTAATCCGAATAATATTACTATCAAGTATCAGTTAAATTTATATATATATAATTTCAAAACTACATAAAGTCATCCTGTATTATATAAACACTTAATTAATGTATGAATAAAGTCCAATTGTTCCCGGCATCTATTATTATCAATGAATTCCATCAAAATGTGTGAAAGTTAATAAAATGTACCGACATTGTGTACGCTTGACTTACTACACCTGCTGCTGTGAAATTGACGATTTAATAGTGTGTTATATTATAGATATCGATAAAAATAAAACATCGACTGTTAGGGGTAGGGAGGGACCGGTTTATAATTTAATATCGGATGTTTGATATTTTTAAACTACAACACTAAATCTTAAAGATTAATATTATGGTAATAGACAAAATAGTACTTATTGTAAAATAACAATAATGTAAGTCTTTAATAAAAACATAATTTTTAACATTTTTTTTGTATTTGTTCAATGGCCGACGAATTGTTTATGGTAGCGAGATAAATTCAAAAAGTCAAAATAATACATACGATTTATTTTATTACAAACAGATTCACATGCATTCAGTATTTAACAGTGACCTGTTATAACTTAACGTCAAAATAAAATAAAATTTTAGTACTTTTATTAAAAATTTAAATATAATTAATATTTTCATATTCTCCCCGAGAATCATTTTCATCTCGTCTGCCCGTGATCACGGTTGCTGCAAAGTAACCGAAACTTCGGGAGTATGTAGCTTTGGAATAAAAAATTGATTCGTGGTATATTTGAAAATATTAGTTTCATTTAAATGAATAGTGGCGAAAATCTTGGGTATCATTAAATTAAATACTGTTTATCCGATTTTTTTAAATCATTGGCGAGAGACTATCTTTG